GTGTGTGTGTGTGTGTGTGTGTGTGTGTGTGTGTGTGTGTGTGTGTGGTCAAGTATGGGCTATACATCAGGAAAAAGTGTGTAGGCTGCTTCCATACGAGCGCGTTTTCAGATCATCCCGAGACTGTTGATATTTTCCCAATTTAGACACAAAATGATACGATAAGGATTTTAAACTGTGGGGATGATTGATACTCAGTGATTCGTAATCGTTTAAGACATGGTCAGAGAGGAATTTATATTGAGAATAACCTGTCAGCAGATAAATTTCACTCACAGTGACTCGTGAGTGGCGGTGAGGAGCCATTAGTTTGAGAAGGAGAAAGAGAATAAGTTGGGATGGTTTGTGGTCACTCTGTTCAGCCCAGAACGACTTCTGATGGAAGACTGAGAGCGGTCGATAGACCAAACGGAAGCAAGGGGAGATGCTCGCATGATTGAAATCCCCAACAAGTAAGTGAAGGTTGTCATTTAACAATGGAACTAGATATGGAATGTGTGGATCAAAGACAGCAGAGATCTCCGTCTGAGAACTCGAGTGAGTTACATATACATTAGTGATGGTTGTACTTTCGTGACGGCGAAATTAGGTATGACAACGAACGCATAAACAGTCAATGCAGTTTTCAGAGTAGTTATGTATTACTTGCCGCGCCAGGAAACATTGATGTAGGTTACAACACAACCTCCTGTTTTTGTCCTACTTCACTGCCTATCTTGCCTGTAGCAATCGAAACCATGTGTTCGCAAGAGCAAATCCTCAACGTTTGGATTCAATGGAGTGGCTCTGAAGAAATGGTTTGTTAGTTGCCACTGACGTGCTTACGACCCTGAGATCCCAGATTCGAGCCCCACAACCGCCACCCAACTTTGGTAGTAAACAGCTTCGCTGTCGTCTGGATCAATGCCACACCTAACCTAACGGGGCCTTATGTGGTTCGCCTCTCCAAGTCCCGTGACTGGAGTTACCGGTTCCCATCACTGAACAGCACATCTTCATGCCTATGGGATTCACCCCGTCTGCTATTCATCACAAAAGACGTGAGTAATAAAAACGTTTGTTTTACACTTTTAAGACACGTGTTAGAATTAATGCGTATGTTCGGAATAGAGGTTGAATCCGTGATCGTCGCAAACAGAGAGCGAACGTTATTGCTAACCAATGATGGCAAGGTCATCTTGATAGGAACGATGCAAGTAATTGTGGCATGCCATCCGGCCCATCTGCGTTTTTGTGATTCAAGCACATTCACCAGTTTCACCAATCTAAAGGGGAGCACGGAATTGAGAGCTTTCAGTCAAAGTATGTACTGATGAGAATAACTGTAGATCCTAGGCACGCTTAGCATTAAGACATTGATGATGACGAATAATAGTTTAGCGCAGCCAATCAAACAGCGTGCGGTGAAGATGATGATGATGATGAGATGATGATGATGATGATGATGATGATGATGATGATGATGATG